AAAAAAAAAAAAAAAGAATGAAAGATCCATGAGAAAAGTGTACATTAGACATTATATTGTACATGCATCTACATTGTTAGATATTAGCATTTTCCTTAAATTTATATTTTATATATTTTATGTTGTAGAGTACATAATAAACTGCTTAAGTTCAGATAAGTTCAGTTGTTTAATAAGAAGCTTTTTATAGTAACAAAACATAATATGCTCTAATCTGAAATTTGAGAGAGATATGGCTTAAATTTGATAATTTAGACTGTGTAACTAAGGCAGGTCCTAAAATTGCATGCTCATTACTTTGAAGAAAAGTCATTCTTTTGACAATTAACCCTCAAAATTTAAACATGTAGAGGAATTACATACAGAATTAAAACAGAAATGAATACTAAGTGAAAATTATTTTTAATATATAAAGTACAGAATGAAAACAGGCATGTTGAAAAAAATTAAAACTCTAAAAATGCAAACAAATGCAAAAGCAGTATTTCCCCCTATGCTAGCATTTTGTTTTTCAATAATGAATTCACACCAGGAATCCTATATAGAAATTCATGCCATGAAAAATAATACCAACCAGTTTTGATTTAGCTCACAGAAAATCATTTTCTTAGAAAACAGACTAGCCACTGTGTTTAGATTTATAAGCTTATGAAAGCTAAGAATGAGCAATGAAATGATCTATGATTAAGAATTGGGTGCCTATGAACTTTGGATGCATTATTAATTAAATTGCTATATTTTTCAGAGGAAATATAATATAGGGCTACTCCACTGTCTGCCAATAGGGAGACTGATTGAATGAAAACAATTCTAGTTGTCGCATATTTTTGCACCCATGTAAGCAGCATAAAGTAAAGCTTAATGGTTAATGTGAGCCACAAACAGTTTACCCATCTCTGCAGGTGATAAAGCTCACCAACTGCCCAGCACAGGAACACTCCAAGCTAAGTAGAATGGAGCTTTACGTTTCTTCTATCAACAACTTTAGTTGCAAAAGTTTGCCAAGTTGTTCTTTGAGCAGATCTAATTTCAATCCTAAGAAAAACTGCTACTTGTAACAACTACTCTCTATTATCATGTCATGGTGACCTAATGTTCTTTTTAAAATTTATGCTGTTCCAATTGTATCTAAAGCATAAAAAAAGAAGACTGAAGAAAGAATGAAGGCATTCAGATAATTTAAGTAAATAAACCATTTGCCTGATCTATATGATTATTTCAAGATAATTCTCTCAGGTGTCTATTCATTTTGGAGAGCAGTCAATAAATATTTATTGAGCACCTATGAAGTAAAAGATGTTGAAAGCTACACATAACACAAATAGATTTTTAAATATTTCATCTATATTCACAAGTTGACTTTTTTCTTTTTTTTTTTTTTTTTTTTTTT